TGATATAAGCATGTATGATATGTATATACCTTGTGTAGAAGGATTACATGACCTTGTAATGTGTTAAATTATAGTTATTTCACATGTGGTAGTGATATAGAACTCTAGTAGAATTATTGATGTTATATGCGAGTTTTGTTAACTTGAATTGCTATAAATTTTGTGATGATAATTCTATACTCTTATTCTTTACCATTTGTAATTATCTTAGAAGCTTATTGCTAAAATGTTAAGATTTAGAAGACAAAGTTTATTGTTGAGACATGATTTAAATTGATAAGTTAGTGATATTATTTTGTGCATTACATCATAATGAAAACTTGTCATTGTTATGCCATTCTAAACTTGGAACCTTAAGACATGGTTTGTTTAGTTTCAAAAATACTTGTGCATGGAAGGTGGTTTACATGCCTTAAATTATGGTATTTAAGTTTTGAACTTGATATATTTTGGATTTTCTTGGGACATTGTTACAAGTGACATGGCTAGAGTTTGGCTCTAGTGCGGGAGGTATGAGTTCTCCCCAATTGAGATAGTGCGCACTAAGGTGGTCTTCCCAGTGGGTTAGTGCCCAGAATAACCGTATTGATCTTGGTTTACCCCGAGACGTGATGTTTAAGTCATCCACTAATTGATTTCGCATTCAATTCCAAGTTGGCAACCAATATTTAATTGTAATTTGTAATTTTTTCTATTTACGAATTGATGTTGTTAAGTATATCAATATTGTTATTGCATTATTATAAAATTATTTAAGTTAGCTTAAAATGATCCCTTAGAACACCTTGAATATAGACGTTAAGTGGAATGCTTCCTTGTATTCGTCTATATTGATCTTGCAATGATATTGAAACTTTAGGGTATACGCATATGCTTCTTCCTATGAGTAACTTGATACTCACCCTAGTGGTTTGGGTTGTTTTATAAGTAAGGAGACAATGTTTTTGGATGCTCATCATCCTTAGAGACTCATGAGCCATTTGAAGCATTTTTGTATAAGGACATGCACTTGTTTAGCGTGCTTTTCTTTTGGATGTTATATTTTGATTTACCATGGATGTATGGCAATTTAGAAGCTAAGATGGCTTCCTTCATGTAATGTGTATCTAAATACATTTGGAAGTGTTCATCTTGCATGTATAACATGAGGCCAAGGGCTATTAACTTGAAAGATTACAAGCATGCTTTCCTTAAAACTCAAATGTTGTCATTGTAGCTTATTTGTGAGAATTTGAGACTTAGTATGCCAAAACTTGTAAATGTATTGTAATGAGGCCATAGGCCATTGTAGCACATTTATTTTATCATATTACATACATTTGCATGCTCACCTTGGCAAACAATACCTTTCTTAATGAAACAAAAACTTAAAGTTGCACTTTGTTGAGTTTTTACCTTCTTTTGTTTCAAGGGCATTTTGGGTATTTCACAATGTATTTTTTTCATTTTTGCCCTGGTGGCCGAGTAGAAAACTCAATTTTGGGCGGGGGGTGGGGGTTGTGTTTTTCCAAAAAACGTCATCTTGGCCCTCAAAATTCCAATTTTTGCTGAAAAACCCCTGCCGCCAGTTTTCTTTACTGAACCTACTGTTTTTGCTTCGTAATCGGTTAAAAGGGGTCTCATAACTGGTTAGATGAGTGTGGGCAGTGTTGTGGGCTTCATTTTTGGCCTCCTAACCAGTTAGGAAGGCTTGGTAACCGGTTAGATGACCTAGGGTTGACTATTTTGACCTTTTTACCCCTCTTTCTTCCGTTAGCCGTATCTTCCTCATCTGGACTTCGAATCAAGTGATTCTTGAGTCTAAATTCATTAATTTTTCGTTGTTTTTCCAATGGTGTGCTCGGTAGTATCCACTTTTACCTTATAAATGATCATTTTGCCCCTAGGTTCCTTTTTGTTCGTTTTTGAAGCGTCATTTCTGTAATTGTTTTCCTTTGGGTTCCGTGACCTCATTGAGGGTCACATTAGTGTCTTAGAGACGCATTGTATCTCTAGAGACCATTGTTTCACCAATTGCTTCTGCATTTTAGATCCATTATCGGATCGTCTTTTGGTCATCACTAACGCACCGGGTTTACAAAACTTGGGCCGTGACACTTAGAGTTGCTTTCTTGCTCGTTGTGGTCGAAGTTATCTTTGGATGAACTTTGTATTTGGCTCCTTGCAACTGTAATTCTTCTTTGTATCCATTTCTTTCATTGATGTGATCTTGAATAATGGAATACTTGGAATAATCTTTATAGCTTCATTGAGGTCATTCTTTGAATGTGAATAATCTATATAACACTCAATGTAAACATTAGTCCTTAAACACCATTAATGGTTTGTTATCATCAAAACATCTAGATTGTCATTGGATGAAATCCTTAAGGTCAACAATTTATAATATTGTAATTTATAAAGTACTGTAATTTAAAACTTGTAAAATTTATGATACTATTTAATTTTGGGTAAAGTACAATGACACCCCTGAGGTTTGCCATATTGACAGTCATTTACAAGTTGGTTATTTTTTGGATAATGACACCCCCTAAAGTTTGAAAAACTTGACAAAGACACCCTATATAGCCATCTGTCATATATGACACATGGGAATCTACCAACTTGCCCTTTGGTGGATCTTTTTAATTTTATAACTTAATGAATTCGACCAATCTACCCCTCATTAACATTTGATGCAAAAAAATTGAAGTGCTGAGTTAGAGGAAAAATCTGCACAACAGTAAATAAAAAACTCATAGAAAATTCATTTAAAATCGAAACAGAGTAAACCAAAATGTTTTGGAAAGTAAACTCACGAAAGTATAAAATTGAAAATTTTGGTGATGATCCGATGTCCAGAAAGCTGTCAAATAAATTACTTAAAAACCTAATTTCAAAAAGTGAAAAATTCTAGACAACAGCTTTTGTCGTTTTTTATAAAAATATATGTTTTTCCAAAAACTACAAAACTTTTCAGAGAATAACTAGACATGCATAGGAACCTTTGTTAAAAATTTCATAGCAATCGGAATATTATAATACCTTGGCGAAATTAATTAATTTCAGCACAATAAATTAGCGATATTTTGTTGCTCATATGAACTTAAGGGTAATTTCGATATTTCAACATGTCTCATATTTTACAAACAAATTGATTTTAATATTAAGGGGAGATTTTTGTCTTTTTGAACCATTTAAGGTCTTGTTTGAATGAAAATTATGACAGTGGGTGTCATTGTCCAAAAAATAGTCAATTTGTATATGGCTATCCATATAGCAAACCTCGGGAGTGTCATTGTACTTTACCCTTTAATTTAAAACTTCTATAATAGTCCATTTATCTTCCTTCTTTTCTTCCACCTAAAGCAAGGATGTGTCATCCCTTCTATTTTTATTTCTTTCATTATAACATCTTTACCGAGCAAAGGAATTTTATTTCTTCCTTCCTATTTTGTCTTTACCCCTCTTCCTTCCTTCCTTCCTAACACAACATACATTTTACTTCCCATTCGGATATAATGTGGGACAAGACTCCTCGCTTAACACTTATGCTCTATAAGGTGCAATTTTGATTACTGATTATTCTATTTGATTATTTGAAGTTAAATCTAGGGTTTGTTTGGATTGAGGGATTTGGAAAGGAAAAAAAAAAAAAAAAGTATAGTGAAAATCATGTTTGGATAACTTTTAGTGGAGAGAAAAGAAACGATTTACAGAGATTTGAAGGGATAAATTATCACTTCAAATCCCTCATGTGCTATCCTCAAAAAATGAGAAGATTTAGAAAAATGATAGTGAGTTAGTAATATTTTCATAATTTTGAAACTACCCCTCTTACAACATTTGACTATCATCTTATAATATTTTATAAAAAGGTTAAGATAGTAATTTCATTCTTATCATTTCATTTCTTTCCTTTATCTTTTCAAATAAGAATTCTATCATATTCTTTCTTTTCTTTTATAATTTATCAAAACATAAATAAATATTATTGTTATCGTTTTTTTTTTTTTTTTTCTCTTATAACTATTGATATCATTTCATTTCTTTTCTCTCATGTTTATTCAAACCAAGCCTTAATCTAATTTGAAAAAGTTATGAATATTTGGGAAATTAATATTCTAAGATCAAAGCAAAAACAGAAGGAAATGGAGTAAATATAAAAAAAAAAAAAAAAAAAAAATTACAAATTAAACTTACTTTTTAACAGCATAGATCAATATCCAACATTTATTTGGTAGAATTTTAAAGTCCTACATTCATAATTTGGTAGAATTTTAAAGTCCTACTTTTTATGGATGTTTCCTACTAAATTCAAAACTCTAACTATTGGATTTCCGCTCCCGTAATTTTGTCATTTCTTATTGAATTATTTGCAATATTTTTAATTGATTAACTTATTATTTACATATTCACTATTTATAGTTTTCAGAGTTACACATCATTTAAATACTTTTACATAAAACTAAATATTTAAAAATATCACTTTTTTTCATGCAATATATTCATGAAAATTTTAAAATTGCTTGAATTGTTTTTAAAATAAAATTACCTTTTAACAAAAAACAAATAATATTAAAAATTACAGGTAAATTTATGTAAATTTGATTGAGACTAATTCTTCAAAATAGTATTTTTTTATTAGTTATTTTAATATGAAAAAAATATTAAATGTAATTCAATAAGAAATGATAAAATTAGAAGAAAAAAAAAATTGTAACGGTAGTTAATAACTTACTTAGTTGGAAATATTTATGAGCATAGGATTTTGTTATATTAATAGAATATTTTTAAAGAGAATGGTCCTTACAATTGAAAAATAGGACAAAATTTATTTATTTCTTAAAAAAAAAGGTAAATTGGATGTACGAATATACCCCTACAGAAAGCCAATTAAGAATAGACTGTAGAGTCCTGAGTCACCTAGGGCCACGTTTTAAAAAGTATGGCCCCACGCGCATGTGCCAACTATTTCCCTCTTCTCCCCATCAGCAAAAAATTCTCAGATTTATGCAAACCCACGCCTTTTTCCATCCCCTAGTCTCTGTCTAAATTCCATTTTCTCTCTCTAGAATCACTCGTCTCTTATATCCTTCTCTTTCCTTTCCTACCCTCAATCTCCGCCGCTCCGACAGTTAAAAAGAAAAAAATCTTTTTACATTTTCTGTGTCTAAAAGGCACATTTGAGACAAATTTTTGTACTCCTCAACCTTTGGTGATTTTCCTCTTACTTTCTCTCGGATTTTCCCGAGAAAATGAAGAAACCCTATCTGGGTTCTAGGGTTTCGGCCCTTTTCTTCGTGTTCTTTCTCTCAATCTTCGTCGCCGTTTGCTCTCAGTCCAGTTCAAACGACGCTTCAGTAATGCAGGCTCTGAAGAAGAGCCTCAACTCGCCGAGTTCACTCGACTGGACCGACTCGGATCCCTGTAACTGGAAGCAGGTTGTGTGCTCCAACGACAAACGGGTCACCCGGATCCAAATCGGACATCAGGGGCTCAAAGGGTCTCTCCCTCCGAACCTCAACAACCTCACCTCCTTGCAGGTTTTCGAAGTCATGGGCAACGAACTCACTGAGTCACTCCCGAGTTTCGCCGGGTTGGCTTCGCTCTCCAGTCTCTTGCTCAACAACAACAATTTCTCGTCAATTCCTGCAGATTTCTTCAGGGACATGTCGTCGTTGCAAGCTGTCTACCTCGACTACAACCCCTTTTCCGCATGGTCGATACCTGATAGTCTAAAAAGCGCTTCGGCCCTTCAGACTTTCTCGGCAGTTTCCGCTAATATTTCCGGGAAAATCCCAGATTTTCTCGGCGTCGACACGTTCCCAGGTTTGCAAACTTTGCATCTTTCTTTCAATAATTTCGAGGGCGGATTACCCGCGAGTTTTTCGGGTTCGTCCATTCAGTCTCTGTGGCTGAATGGTCTGAGTGATGGTTCTAAGCTCAATGGCACAATTGATGTGTTAAAGAACATGACTCAATTGACTGAAGTTTGGTTGCAATCGAATTCGTTTTCGGGTCCCATACCGGACCTTTCTGGGTTAATCGGACTGAAAACATTGAGTTTGAGAGACAATGGCTTTACGGGTCCGGTACCGGAGTCTCTGGTGGATCTTCCATCGCTCCAGACTCTGAATTTAACCAACAATATGTTACAGGGACCAACTCCAAAGTTTAAGTCTTCAGTTGGGGTTGATATGATTAATGAGACTAACAGTTTTTGCTTACCTGATCCTGGTGTTCTCTGTGATCAGAGAGTGAACACATTGCTTTCGATTTCGCAATCTGTTGGTTACCCAACTGTGTTTGCAGAGAATTGGAAGGGGAATGATCCTTGTGCTCAGTGGAAGGGGATCACATGTTCAAATGGGAGCATTACAGTTATTAATTTTCAGAAATTGGGTCTAACTGGTACAATTTCTCCCAACTTTTCATCGTTTTCATCTTTGCAAGTATTGATTCTTTCTAATAATAACCTTGGTGGTACCATCCCGAATGAGCTTACAACTTTGCCTAACCTTAAGCAATTAGATGTTTCGAATAACCAGATTTATGGTAAAATTCCATCATTTAAGAGTAATGTGCTTGTAAAAACCGATGGGAATCCGGATATTGGGAAGGATAGTGGTGTTACTCCATTACCCGGGGGGTCACCATCGGATAATACACGTGGCTCATCACCGGGCTCGCCCTCAGGTAATAGTACAAGTACTTCTGGAAGTGATGGCAAGAAGTCTTCATCTGGAGTGGTTGTGGGTTCGGTGATTGGTGCTGCTTCTCTGGTTTTCATTGTTGGGATCGGAGTTTTCTGCGTTTACAGAAATAAACGAAAGCGTCTCGGTAGAGTACAGAGTCCGAATACAGTGGTGATCCATCCTCGCCATTCGGGGTCAGACCAGGATACAGTTAAGATCACTGTTGCTGGTTCAAGCGTCAATGGTGGAACAGTGAGTGAAACTTACAGTCTTGGAAGTAGTGGGCCTAGGGACATCCAAGTTGGGAACATGGTAATTTCCATCCAAGTTTTGAAGACGGTGACTAACAACTTCAGTGAGGAGAATATATTGGGTAGAGGTGGATTTGGGACTGTTTACAAAGGTGAGTTGCATGATGGAACTAAGATTGCTGTAAAGAGGATGGAGTCAGCAGTGGTGAGTGAGAAGGGTTTGGAAGAATTCAAGTCTGAGATTGCTGTACTTACCAAGGTTCGACATAGGCATTTGGTTTCGCTCCAAGGATATTGCTTGGATGGAAATGAGAGGCTTCTTGTTTATGAGTACATGCCTCAAGGGACTCTGAGTAGGTATCTGTTTAACTGGAAGGAGGAAGGGTTGAAACCCCTTGAATGGACAAAAAGGCTGATCATTGCCTTGGATGTGGCTAGAGGTGTTGAATATCTACATAGTTTAGCCCATCAGAGCTTTGTGCATAGGGATTTGAAACCATCAAACATTCTCCTTGGAGATGATATGCGGGCTAAAGTTGCAGATTTTGGACTTGTCCGTCTTGCTCCAGATGGTCCGGATGGCAAAGCTTCAGTAGTAACAAAACTAGCAGGAACCTTTGGGTATCTCGCACCGGAGTATGCAGGTAAATTTTTTTTTTTTGTTCCCTTCTTGCTTTAGATATTGCCAATTGCACTCTTCGATTGTTTGCTTTTTAAAGTTTTTTGTGCTAAATAAAATCAGATAGCAAGTAGGAACTTTGAATTGAAATGCTTCAAAGATAAGCAGGGGAACATTAAATTAACACCAGAAAACACCATTGGTTAAGTAAAGAAAATCAGCAAAGCAAGGGGTGAACAGCAATTTTTTCCCCTCTATTCAATTTGACATTCTTCTTTATATTCAAAACTTGACTTCTAGGGATGATTGTTACTTGGCCCTTCTGAGTTTTGAAAACAGCAGGATTGAATTTATTTCACTGTTTACAATTAAGTGGTGCTTCTGTCCTGCAGAATATTATTTTCTGAGTTAATGTTTGAAGCCAACTTTACAAAATCAGGAGAAAAGAAGATATTTCCCTATGACCAATATGGGATATATAATCATGCTCCATATTAGATTACTTTGCTTATTCTCTCTTTGGTATGTGCCTCTGGATTATTCATACAAACAGCATACTTTTTCCTTTTCATAAGCTTAAATTGAAGTTGCAACCTTTAATACCTCAACTTGTACATGTGACTAATGTGGCCTTCTATTGCTATGTTTTGACTACATTGCATTGGACCCTCCCTGTTTTGAGAAACTTAACTTCGGAAAATGTTATTTAATATATGGTTAAATGAATTTAATTCATTTGCTTGATGTTGAATATGGTCACACGTGCTCTTAAAAATTTCGAAGAATCTTTGCTTCATTAAGACTAATATATTACTGAAATCGAGTCAATAGAAAAGTTCAGCTGACAGGGCGCGGGCCCTACTCCGTATTTACCAGCATTTCTATGGGCAGCTAGACGAATAGCTTCTTAGTCTTTGGTGGCCAGGTCTCCTACAAGATATCCAGGATCTTCTGCTGTCCTGTCAAAGGAAAAGATCACCACCAAAAATCAGACCGTCATTTCGGTACAACGAGGAGGAGTTTACTATGGTCAGTGCAGTGAGATTCGTGGAACTAATCATGCCTTTACGCGTGCGCCCGGAAACATAAGCCTATATTCTTTTGGAGCAGGATAGTTGTGGAGTTTTTGTGCTTCATTTTCTGATCATTCTCAATTAGAAGCTCTTTTAGAAGATGAATTCACTTTTTTTTTTTCTCTGTTTTAAGCACCGTGCATGGTATATGCTTTATTGACCTTTGGGTTACACATCATTTTTTTTTACTGTTTCTAGTTGATACGGAGTAATATATTAGATTTGAGCTCGAAGGATGTTTTTATAATTTTGTTTTAATCATTAAATGAATCCTGCTCTTGACTCTAAGACCCAAAATTTGTGTTGCTGAGCAGCAATGGGCAGAGTGACTACCAAGGTTGATGTGTTCGCCTTCGGAGTAATTTTAATGGAGCTGATTACCGGAAGAAAGGCTCTAGATGAAACCCAGCAGGAGGACACTATTCATCTTGTTGCATATTTCCGTAGAATACACAACAACAAAGACTCGTTCGAAAAGGCCATCGATCCCACAATCCACCTTGATGACGAGATCCGTGCCAGTGTTAACATTGTGGCTGAGCTTGCTGGCCACTGCAGTGCAAGAGAACCCTATCAGAGGCCTGACATGAGTCACGCAGTCAATGTGCTTTCATCTCTTGCCGAGCTCTGGAAACCATCCGACCCTGATGCCGAGGACATGTATGGGATCGACTTCGATATGTCATTACCTCAGGCAGTCAAGAAATGGCAGGCTCTCGAAGGAATGAGTGGTGTGGATGGTTCTTCGTCTTACTTTGGCAGTGCCGATAATACCCAAACTAGCATACCTACCCGACCTCCTGGCTTTGCAGATTCCTTTGCATCCGCAGATGGACGGTGAGATTTAGTGATCGAACAAAGAAGATGATCTGACAGTGCAAGTGGTGTTGTTAATTGCTCCCGAGAGGTTTGGTTTGTTCATTCTTTCTGCTTATTTCATGCTTTTCTTCTTTATCTTTCTTGCAAGGTTTGTTCCTTTTTCTTTTTCCATACTTTGTTGAAGCTGCTGCTCTTTTCCTTTTTCTTTGTAGTTTGGACAGCTAAGTTATCTTATAACTCTTGAAGATTCAAATAGATAAGAGTTCATGTATGTGTTATTTGTGTTTCATATTTCTGGGTTATTACTAAAATGCTTCCAACCTCCATAGGCTGTTAGTTTCCTACTCGTTTTCCCCCTTTTATTAGCAATTAAATGAGGTCATTTGCAGCATGTACTGAACTCGAAGGGGATAGTGTAATGGCAAAGACTCGCATCCAATCTTGGAGGTCGGGCATTCCAATCTTATAGAGGTCACTGTCAGAGAATTTTCTTGATCATTGTCCGGTGTGGGACGGGACTATGTGTCCGGTGGTGAATTATAGGATGCTTGAGAGCTCCGACAACACCACTGTTGTAAAAAATAAAAATAAAAAATTGTTATCTTTTGATGCATTGTGTGTGTTTAGCATCATCATAACATGTGTGCCCATATGTTGTGAAGACATTGGGCTACACAGGCAGAGAAAAAGGGGGTCCCATTTATGATGACGTGGAATGAATTATGTCAACCATAAACATATTCAATTGCTAAATGAGAAAAAAACAATTTTGATTTCATAGAATTGGGGTCACGAAGGCTAGATTGAGATATTCATTTCAAATTGGAACCGGGAATGACGCCAAAAGATTAAGACACTCCTGGTCCTGGTTACAGCTCATCCGCATTCCTTAATGTCTGATAAAAATCTACCTATATATATATATATATTGTCCCTTGTTTCTATAGGATATGTATTTATTTTTATGTTTTTGGTGACAAGTGTGTGATGAGGAATGGTTTGCCGGATTATGTGTTTTTTGGTAACCAGCTGGATTAGTGGGTGTTGAATATTCTCCAAACTCGAGAGTGATTACGTGGGTACCTCTCATGTCTCATTCTCTCTCTATATTACTATAATATGTATATGTGGCGGATTTGGTGCCGATTATTTACCATCTTAATTGTTGACTACCCACTTATTCAATCACATAATGTTTCTGGATCTTATTTTAGTCTTTTTAAGAGTGTCCCCATTTTAAGGTCCAACAGACCCGCCATAGCTCTACATTAACTACGTAATACAATTATGATAATGCCCTTTGTCTGCCTCCCCCCACCTATATATATATATATATGAGTTAGGACATGTTTGTTTCTTTTGTGTGTATATATATATACACACACACACACACTTATTGCTAGGCTTATATTCCAGATTACCAAATTTAGGGATTCCAAATGGATGTAAATAAGAACACAACTTGAATGATAGTGAGATTTCATCCCCAATCTTTGATATAACTATTAAATGAGCTTCCAACTTCTAGATTTTTAAAAATATCACCCTTGTCTGGCTGCCATTTGCTCTAATAATTCCATTCAAGAGAGAAGTAATAAATAAATAAATAAAATCGGTGAAATTTTATATAACTTGTGTGTGGGTGAGGACTTGGATTTTCACAAATGGCCATAACATCCAAGCGCCTCCTTAGAGATTACCCTTCGTGTCTTTACGATCAGGTTATAAAGAGTCGTGATCTTTGCCACGTTTCTCTAATTTTGTTTATTTATTTTTGTTGTTGTAGACATTTTTTTGGGCGGATGCCAACAAAACATTGAGATCCAACGAAAGACAAAATGGAGGAAAACATACATAAAACACAAGATATACATGATTCATCCAAAATTTGGGTTATGTAATCCGAGTTATATTCACGGATGAGAGGAGATTCCATTATAGCTAAGATCATATACACAAACTCCTGCTCCATGGTATGGATTTAGATACTTGAGCCTGTATTCAACCTTACACGAGACTCCCTCTCGCCCTATCAAACGCGTAATTACGGGTAACCCACCCCATCAACTCCAAGCTACATCTCTCTTAATTCATCTCTCTCAAGAATAACCTATTGTAGGTGCAGAAATTTAACACCAAAAAACTTAAAGATAAATACAAAAACTATGGCAAAAGAATTATGACTGAACTTAAACAAACTTAACAAAAGAAATATAGGTAGGTGAAATCGATGCATTTTCTCTTCTCATTGATTTTTTATTTATCTGTTCACAGAGCTTTTCTTGGGGCCGTTATTGACGGTTTTGGATGTGGGCATTCATGGTCCCTTATTTCCTGTGATTTCCTTCATGACAGGCATTATGGGTTGTTGAATGCATTTGTACTGGGCCACGTTCTGGGCTGAGCTCTTCTGCTTGGTCTGACTTGAATGTTTTGGTGCTTTTCTTGGTGGGCTTTTGATTGTATTGGGCTCCTGGGCTGGTTTAATAAATTTTTGAGGCAAATTTTTGAGGGGGTATTCTAACTGATGTCTGTTTAATAAATTTTTGAGGCAAATTTTTGGACCAAATTACCCCTTAGCATCACAACACATGTACACGCACGCACCTTCTAATTGTATCTCGTGGAGCAGCGACAGAGAATAGTGAAGAACCCACCAACTAGATTTTAAGTAATGTCATGCTGTATATATATCTCCTCTTTGACTATTTTTATTCCAAAAAACTCCCCTCAACTATCAGAGGGGGTAACAAATTCAACTAGACCTTTACTAAGGATGCAACATGACTAAAGTATCCATTAGGCAAAAAAACTATTTTCTCTCCTTTTCAATTCTGAGTTTGTTGGTGGAAAAAAATTAAAAAAAATTTGAGTTTGCTTTCTTTTATCATTCCTCTCTCTAATTGGGCTAGGGTTCATAATCATCTCATATAACTAAAGAAATTGTTGACTGATCTATGTTTGCAACTTCCAGATAAATTATTTCAATGTGTTTTGCTCCCTCTTGATCAATATTTTTTTAGGATTTTTTCTTTATGATTGATCTGGACGTTGTTTTTTTTTTTTTTTTTTTTTTTTTTTTTTTTTTTTGGGGTTTGGGTTATACGTTTTTAGTTATTTATTTATTTTCATTTGGTGATCTATTTGGTATCAATGTTGATGAAAGTATCAGTTTTCAAAAGGAGAAAAAGTCTGATTGTTTTCTTTTTTTCATTCCTCCATACTTACATATGTATATTAATACTATGTACAGGATACTCACAAATTCAATTTTTTGTTTCTTGTATGTCTTCATTTAGTTGATAGAAACAAAATATAGATTACTGATTTTGTTTCCAATTTTTATTATTATTATTATTTATTTTTTTTATTGTTATTCCTTTTTCTTCGGCCTGATTCAATTTCATAGAAAACTAAACCAATGTGAGCAAATCACACCCCTCTTTTGCTTCTTCTGAAAAAAAAAAAAATAAATAAATAAATAAAAAATAAAATCACACCCATATAAGTATTTTTTAATTTTGTATTCAATATGTATCTTGGTCAACTTATAATTACCTTTTTGGTAATTACTCATTGGAGAAGTGTTTTCCTTCTCATTCTTTATTTTGATGGAAAGTAGAATTGTATTACTAAAAGGAAAACTAGTCCTCTCTTTGCCCTTATAAAAGTGCATATACTCTATCAATTATGTACGATTAATGATACAATACGTAAAATTTTTATGTGTGCAGAAGGCCAAGAGAGAGAAACCAGTTTCTACCTTTGTCTGTTGATCAAAGATCTCGACATTGAACTTGATCTCAACAAGATTTGCTATCATGGTTGAAGATATTTATATCTAACTATATTTATTTATGCATTATAGATATGTGAAAATTATGAAGTTCTAAGATTATGAAATTTATGTAAATTTGTAATTAATGACTTAATACGGAATAAATTAAAGTTTACATGTGATATAACTTTGTTAAATGCATTGTATTAGAACTATAGTTTTATTCTATTTAATTGCTTCAAACACTACCAATTGGTCTTAATGGGTTTTGGCTTTTGTGTACTAAGTTGTGGGGATTTTTTGAAATAAAAATAGTTAAGGTGGGTTTAGTAGAAAAGAGTAAAAAGAGTAAAATTAGAGGGGGTTTTTCAGACTTTGCCCCATAAAAAAAATCAAGATGAGGCCCATCCATCACTTTCAGCAAGGCAAAATCCATTTACAGAAATGAAGTGAACCACACCGGTGGTTTATAACATCTTCACCGACAGCTCGCCGTTGGCTGTTCCTCTCTGCCGGTGGGGTTCTTCATTACTCTCGGACGTTCCAGCTACTGCCACCGGCCCGCCGTTATTCATCGCGTTCCCAGACCCACGGTTTAACTCACTGCCGGCGAGTTCCTTGCTCGACGGATGGTCCGTTCTGTTTTCTTCACTGCCGGACATCTCGCTCGACGCCGGTGAGAACGGCTTGGCCAAAATATTAATCTGTTCACGTCGTCGACAAGCATGGCCTTGGCTTTGAGAGACAACACATTTGGCGTCATCGTCTTACGAGGAGAGCTCGGAAATGGCGCGCCAGGAGGATAGCTTTTCCCGCCGATCCAGATGATGTTTACATGTTTATGAAATTAAGAAAAAACTGTTTCAATCGATTGGGTATTAAAAAAAAAAAAAATTCTCCAGAGAAGTGCAAAAATAGTTCATATATCAATACATCAAATTTGTAAACACTTAACAGTCTATACAAATTTACAAACCCTTCCCTTTCAAAAATGATACATATATAGTCTGATGGCTATATGTGTGTGTGTATGTGAACTACAAATAATTGCGATCTATTTCCGCCTGCCGTATAAATAAACGGAAACAGAGGAGCCGGCTCGTAGCAGAATGGAGCCGCCGGGTGCTGCCATTTCTCGAACGCCATCGGCTTCTCTGGCTCAATCACACGATGATTACTCTGTTCCTTCTTCGATTCCTCCTTGTTTGCAGTCGAAGAACTCATCTCCACCGTCTGATCTTTTTATTTTGGGGACGACGGTGATGTGACCATTGATTAAAAAAAAAAAAAAAAATGATCTTCTCTTTTTCTTTCTATTTCGAGTGAGTTTTACAGAGAGTAGAGAGAGAAGGGGTGGGCTGTGGTGATTTGGGGTGGAGGTTGCTGTTAACCCTAAAGGTCATTCAAAGACCACCTAATGATTTTGATAATTAGAAAAAAAGTATTTTCGGACTAATATTTACATTGAGCATGCATAGCAAAATGATCAAATA